CTTGCCCCTGAGGGAGACCCGGATGCTCCAGACATCCCGACCCCGCGCTCTTACGCTGAGGCGATCGCGGGTGAGTACTCCTCTCAGCGGCAGATAGCCATGGACGCAGAGATGGCATCCTGGAAGTCCACAGGCACCTACGTCGACGAGGTTCCCCCTCCTGGGGCGAACATCGTCAGTGGCATGTGGATTTTCAAGGTGAAGCGGCCGCCAGGTTCTCCGCCTGTCTTCAAGGCTCGTTACGTTGCTCGAGGCTTCAGTCAGCGGGAGGGAGTCGACTTCTTCCAGACCTTCTCCCCCACCCCGAAGATGACCACTCTTCGGGTACTGCTGCACGTTGCCGCTCAGCGTGACTACGAGCTTCACTCTCTTGACTTCAGCACAGCTTTCTTACAGGGCAGCCTGCACGAGGAGATCTGGCTGCGCCGCCCTCCTGGCTTCACTGGGTCGTTCCCTCCTGGTACCCAGTGGAGCCTCCGGCGGCCGGTCTACGGTCTCCGCCAGGCGCCACGTGAGTGGCACGACACACTGAGGACGACACTTGCTGCTCTTGGGTTTGCTCCGTCGACTGCTGACCCGTCGCTGTTTCTGCGCACCGACACTTCGCTGCCGCCGTTCTACATCCTCGTGTACGTTGACGACTTGGTCTTTGCCACTGCTGACACTGAGGCTCTCGCTCTGGTGAAGTCGGAGCTGCAGAAGAGACACACGTGCACAGACCTGGGTGAGCTGCGCAGTTACCTTGGCTTGCAGATCACCCGGGACAGAGCACGCCGCACCATCACACTGACTCAGTCACACATGGTGCAGCAGGTCCTTCAGCGCTTCGGCTTCACCTGGTCCTCGGCACAGGCCACTCCTCTGGCTACAGGTCACTCGCTCTCAGCTCCACCTTCGAACGAGTCCGTAGAGCCGAGTGGTCCTTACCCAGAGCTAGTGGGCTGCCTCATGTACCTGATGACCTGCACTCGTCCTGACCTTGCGTACCCTCTTGGCCTTCTGGCTCGCTACGTGGCTCCTGGTCGGCACTGAAAGGTGCACATGGATGCTGCTAAGAGGGTACTACGCTACTTGTGCAGTACATCGGGCATGGGGCTCGTGCTTGGAGGGCGGAGCCCAGTTGTCCTCACTGGGCACTCAGACGCTTCTTGGGTTGACGACCAGGCTACGCAGCGGTCGTCACAGGGTTACACCTTCAGCCTTGGCTCTGGCTCAGTTTCTTGGCGTTCTACACGCTCGTCTTCAGGTCTCAGCTCCAGTTGTGAGGCTGAGATCTACGCCACAGCCATGGCTGCACAGGAGTTACGCTGGCTCACCTACCTGCTGACCGACCTGGGAGAGTGGCCTCGTTCTCCTCCAGTGCTATACGTCGACAACAAGGCAGTCATTGCCTTGTGTGAGGAGCACAGACTGGAGCACAGAACGAAGCACATCGCATTGCGTTACTTCCTGGCTCGAGAGTTGCAGCAGCGTGGTCAGCTTCCTCTTGCTTACGTGGCCACTAGGGCCTACACTGCTGATATATTCACCAAGGCACTTCCGTCTGGTGATCATCAGCGTTTCTGCACTTTGTTAGGCCTTTTGCCCACTTTTCCTCACTTGCTGTAGACGTTGCTTGTACTGTGATCTATATATATATCTGCATGCTTGCTCTTGTAGGTAGAGATCACTGTGCTGTTGTTGTTCCATATATATCTCTGCATGTGAACTGGCCTTGTGGCCTGTTGCTTGTGCTCAGACTGCGTGGTGACGTTGTGATCCACCCTGAGCTTGCTTTGCACTTCCCGACTGGTCTTGTGACCCTCTGTTCTCCCCCACTTTGCCTATGGGGGTGTGTCAAACATATAGTTATATGTTATAGTTTGGGTAAGCTTTAGTGGGGTACTCACTGTGGGGTACAACCCCTTAGGTTATATTTTTGTACCAAACTCTCGATAGTCAATTCCATCCTTCCCTTTACTCTCGACAACCTAATCTGCCCATAGGTTTTTCCAAACCCGTTCCCTAACCACAGGAGCAGGGGTTAAAAAATGGGGGTTGGTTTTGCCCGTGGTTCACTGTACAATGGTTTGCCAGTGCACATTGAACAAGGGAGAAATAGGCCTAAACCAGTTTGGGAATTTCGAGCATCCGAAGCAGGTCCGAGCTCGGTCGGATAACGATCACTCTACGCTTTTCCCAAGACGAGCATGATTTTCCGCCAAAATGGCTCCCATATCTTGCCCGTTTCTGGCGAGTTACCCTTGCTATTGAACACAACCATTGATACGCGTGAATGCAGTCATGTATGTGGCACAAAAACTAGACGCTCTCCATGTGGACACTCGCCCCTACAAGTCTTGCGCAGCGCGAAAAAATTGCGTGCATGGTCAGTGTGCACTCTCTCGCGCTTACACCCTGTGCCCCGTATCATCGCGTGTGTACAAGTGTATGGAGTGAAATTTTGAAAACGGCGAACGAACTATCCTTTCCCGAGAGGCCCTCTGTCTCTCTTGACATTTGTTTTAGGGTTTTCGGCTGATTACGCGGGTATACTGAAACTAAACTCCAAAAGCACAGTACTGTCGTTTCTGACGCATGGTTTTTGCAGGGGCACGCGCTGGTCTGCAGGGGCGCACTGCTCTGCAGGGTGGCGCGCGCTGCTCTGCAGGGTGGCACGCGCTGCTCTGTAAGGTCGCGCGCTGCTCTGCAGGTTCGCGCGCTGCACTGCTGGGTGGCGCGCGTTGCTCTGCAGGGGCGCGCGCACTAGTCTGCAGGGGCGCGCTTCTCTGCTGGTTGGCGCGCGCTGCTCTGCTGGGGCGTCCACTGCATTGCGGGGTGGCACGTGCTGATCTGCCGAGGCGCGCGCTGCTCTGCTGGGGTGCGCGCTGCTCTGCAGGGTGGCGCGCGCTGCTACGTAAGGTCGTGCGATGCTCTGTAGGGCCGCGCGCTGCTCTGCAGGGGCGCGAGCTGCTTTGCTGGGTGGCGCACGCTGCTCTGCTGGGTGGCGCGTGCTGCTTTGCTGGGTGGCGTGTGCTACGTAGGGTAGGCTACTACGGAGTAACGGAGCGACGGAACGGTACTAGGTTAGGCTAGGCAACAGAGCACGGGCGGGATTAGGCTAGGCTAGGAGCGTACCTACTCATGATACCATCTCATAAATGAACAGCGGAATGGTTGAGTAGTTAGGGAAAGGGAGTACAAGTCAAGTGTGGAGAGAATGATGTAACCCATATTGTGAACCTGACTGCAGGCTAGAATCCTAACAAACATATAAACAACATTTGACAGTCAGCCCTAAACATTTCCACCGAACGCTACCGGGCACTAGATGACGCTACCGGGAACTGTTAGGGCTGGGCAGAAAAAATAAGACCCTAGGGAACCTAGACGCATTTTTGGGAGGGATAAACCCTAGAAACACCCGCATCGTTTTTAGGGTTGATGCCTCCCAGGCAGGGCTGACTATTCAAAAAAATCCAGTCTGATGTTCTGGGGGCTCTGAAAATTTTTAGTCTGAGGCATATTTCCCAGAGAATGGCCACTCTGATTTTTCAGGTTCCGCAAAAACACAAGTCTGAAGTACTCAGAACACTCTACAACCACTGCAGTACAGTACTGCCACAAATGTAGCACGTGGGGCGCAACGCTAACCAGTTTCCCTCGCTGACACCGCGTAGCTGCAGTGATGGTCCCGCGTGAGTGGAAGAGTGAGCCAAGTTGGCAGATTTCTAAGGGAAAAGGGTGGCAAAAGTTGCCAAGGACAGATTCTGCGCGTGACAGCGCCATGAAGTGTGTTCGTACACTGGCAACATATGACGTAGCGGAATGTACGTAGAAATCACAGATCCGCATTTCAGGATCCGTACTCCCTGTAGTATGAAGACCCATTATCGGCTAAGTCAGTACTCTGAAAATCTCAGGATCCAAAACCAAGTAAGTCTGAGGCACTCATGTTTGAAAATCTTACAAGTCTGGAAAATCAGGATCCGTAGAAAAATACCCTGAGATTTCAGACAATCAAACTATTTTAGTCAGATAAAGTCAGCCCTGCTCCCAGGGTCGCATAACTGCGTTGAAGGTGCGCTGCTTCCACGCCCTGATCGAAAACTGGGCAGTAACCGTGTGTGATCAACTCAAAAACCTTTGTTTTATCCATACCGTATGTTATTGTACAACATGGTTTGATTCACTTGGTTTTACTTTTTGAACTTTAACTACAGTTTCTTTCTGCACTTCTAATCTGTTTGCTTTTAGCGGGCTGCAGGTTCGGAAAAGGAACCAACCACTGCCACAGTGCGGCTCGGACCAGCTCAGAAAAGAAAGCACTGTGTCAAACAGAGCCTCAGTTCCGTACTGCTCTTGTACTACCGAACGGAGGCTGGGGGAAGTGTGGGTGGGAGACACTATTGCCTCAGTTGTGAGGGGAGGAAGTGAGGGAGCTGGGTGTGGTCCCCGCTACTACTACGTCGGCCCAGCGTGCTTCCTAGACTTAGGCAGGGGTGGAAAGGAGCGCCCGATTTTTGCAGAGAGATGACCGACTTTGGGTCGGCGACTATGGGTCGGCGAGGGTGAGTGCCGATCCATCCGGCCTCGCGTGCCCGGGGTTACAGACGCCGACTCCCTTCGGGCCTGGCGGGGCTTGGGCAAGGTTCGAGAGGACCCGGGCCGTCGAGAGTGGGCTGGAGTCCATCGCGACCTAAGATATCTGGGGGGGGCGCTGCTGATACTATCAGGGGAACCACAACTTCCCCGTCTTCCCAGCTAGGTGCTGGGTTATTTTTCGGGCGCCCGCGCGGGGTGACGGGAAGGTCGTGTCCTTTTGCCCCTCGAGGTGCTGCGCCCGACGGTCCCCGGAAAAAAAGTGACGCGAGGCAACACTAGACCCGGGGTCCATTTTTTTCCCGACCTTACTCTGCCGCGGCTTTCAGCACTTCCAAGCCGCTATAAATAGAAATGGGTGCGGCACCTCCTGTCAGCCATACAAGGAACCACCTTGTTTCTCACTTCCGTCAGCAGCCATGTTTCTCTATCAGGATCTGATTTCCGGTACGTTGCATGCTATAGGATGTCCGATGCGGCGAGTTTCCATACATGCGAGTTTTTTTCATGATAATCTCAATTCGATTTTCATTCGTGTTATTAGGTGACGACCTGCTGTCCAGCGCTCTTGAAATCGAGGAGACCCACAACGGCATCTTCTACGAAGTCGAGAGCCAGGTGCGATCTGTTGCGATTCTAAGAGATCTTATTCCGTCGGTTGCGATGCTAAGGGATCTTACCTTGTCAGTTGCGATCCTAAGAGATCTTACCCCGTCAATTGCGATCCTAAGAGATCTTACCCCGTCAGTTGCGATCCTAAGAGATCTTACCTCGTCAGTTGCGATCCTAAGAGATCTTACCTCGTCAGTTGCGATCCTAAGAGATCTTACCCCGTCAATTGCGATCCTAAGAGATCTTACCCCGTCAGTTGCGATCCTAAGAGATCTTACCCCGTCAGTTGCGATCCTAAGAGATCTTACCCCGTCAGTTGCGATCCTAAGAGATCTTACCCCGTCAGTTGCGATCCTAAGAGATCTTACCTAGTACTTCAAGAAGTTCTTTGTCAGCACAAATGATCGCACGCGTGTAGCTAACCAGATCTTATCGTTGTCTGGATGACATTGCGATCATGTGTACATGTGCAGTGGCTGGAAAAGAGCCGTGGCGAGGACGAGGAGGAGGAGGGTGAGCCCGAGAAGGTCGTGAATATTGTCTCCATGTTCAACCTACAGGCACGTTAACAATGATCATACTAAGAATATAATACTAGTGCCAAGCCATTTCGTACTAGGGTTGCTCTAGTTACGGTCAAAGTTTACATGATCTGTGCTAGCCATCGTCGCTTTCGAATGCTCTTCTTATATGCCTGACCATCCGTTGCCTCCGCATCCGTGCTATTTTTTTCTCTTTTTTTTTTGTTAAGTGCAGGAACTACCACCATTTGACAAGAGGGCGCTCGGCACTTACCTGAAGAATTACATGTATAAGCTCACAAGCCTGATTTCTGATGACAGGAAAATGAAACTTAGGGCGCACTCGTCCGATGCTGCCAATTGGCTCTTCTCCAATCTCGCTGACCTGAAGTTGTACGTTTTCGGCCGCAACTTCCCACTCTCCCTTATCTTTCCCTCCACCTCCCCCCATTTCGCACTACCCCTAACCTCGAGCCTTGCAGCGATCAGATCGGTCTTGTCGACATATTCCCTGCTCTCTGATTGATTGATTGATTTGTTGTTTTTGTTTGTTTGTTTGTTTGTTTTTCCTCTCATGCAGCTTTGCTGGTGAGAGCATGAGTTTGGAGGATTTGGACGGCTCACTCGTTTATGCTTACCACAAGGATGGTGCTGCCAATCTCACCTTCATCTATTTCAAGGACGGCCTGAAGGAGAGAAGATTATAAAGATGTGCTTCGTCTGTCCAACATGGCTCCAAATTCAGTAACGTTTACAGTACCAGAAGTTCCCAACAAGCATCCTCACAGAGACCAGAGGTCTTGCATCCGCAGAATACTGTAGCCTCCTTGCAAATTAAAAAGGTAACAACTATGGCATCTGTGATTTGTCCAATGCACATGAACCAAATGGAAAGCCAAATTATAACCTGCCAAAGTAAACAAGTGTGTGAGGGATCACGGTTATGTGAACTGAAACCACCATTCCGCAATCAGCGCCTCGTGGCCCTGAGCGAATCTTGCCTGCTACATACCATATCATGCAAATCCAAAGCTGTGAACAATATATGACGAGCTCACGAGAGTGAGCAAGCGCATACGCATCATCTCTATGCTCTCATATGGGGGTAGCAGAAACTGATGAAAGCACGTGTGTGCCGTGGGCAGGCGCGAAAGATCCACATCTGCCCGATGCAGATGAAACCCCATCGCCAGCCCCTTGAATCCGTTCACGGGCAGATTCGAAACAGCAGTCGCAAAAAACAGCAGCGACTTCCGCTGCTCACCCGAAAGCGACTCCACAACTTCCCAAAACCACAAAACTTGGGGATCTTCCGGACAATACCCGTGGTACACCGTGTGTGCCTGCCAATCAGAGACCGCCACGTGGCGGTCCTCCCCGTGGAGAAGCAAATTGAGATCATCTCATGAAAGGGGAGCGAGCATGGCAGCGAGACTCACGCCTTCAATCGAATCACCGCAACAATCATCATCCTTGTGGATCGACAGGTGTTGTTCCTCATCTCTCTCAAAGCCACCTCCCAATCCTCCCAAACTCCCTTCTGTTCCACCCATCCCTCCTTTCCCATCCGTCCCTTCCCTTCCTTCCACCACATCTCCTTTCCCTACAATCACATCCCGCCCTCCTCCGCTCCCCAATATATCCTCCATGCCTCGCCGCAACGCCTCCCCCTCCTCCTCCACCACCCCGCACACTCTAAACTGCACCATCCGCTGCACAAACTCCGCCACATCATCAGCACGAACCACTCGCTCGCTGCCACCTGGAACAAGCTCTGCTTCGATTGGTGCCCCCCCCATCGGATCCTCTACCGAAGCCACAAAGGTGAGACACAATGACTCCACTCCTCCTCCTTCTCTTCCTCCTCCTCCCTGTGCTGCTTCTTCCCTCTCCCTTTCAGCCATAGCCAGCAAAGACCGACAGCTAGCAACAAGCTGGGGATCATCATCAGCAGCATCAGCCAGCGAGGGTGTGCGAGCCGCAAGCAACACAAACAGGGACCGAGACAGCTTCACTCCTAATGGGACCTGATGCGCCAAAGCAAGGGCCAGGATACGTCCGGCAAATCGAAGGTACTCCTTAGCTTCGGCAGGGTTGGCTGGCCAGGGAGAGGGAGAACCGGCTCGGGTCGTGAGGTACGGGAGAGAAGAGGCCCAGGTTCGGGTCGAAGAGGTGTGCCCGAACGAAGGCGAAGAACTCCCGAAGCACTCCCGGACCTGCGGCCCCACCCTCGCCTGTGAACCGAACGTCCAAGCCTCCGGTTCGGAGGGCTGTTGGGTCCGCAGAAAGGATTTGAATGAAGGCCTGGTGAAGGGCTAACGGGCCTCGTTCAATCTGAGGGTATGAGATAGAAATGAGAGACGGAAGGGGAAATGAATGAGGAATAGGTATGGGTTCTCTTTGGTTCGGAGGGCTGTTGGTTTCGCGGCGAGGATCTGAATGAAGGCCTGGTGAAGGGCTAGCGGGCCTCGTTCAATCTGAGAATAGGGATAGAATGGGTTGGGAAAATAGGAAAATGAGGAGGAGGAGGGAGGGATGAGACAGGGAGTTCATTGAGCTTATGCGCACAGATTGAGTTTCAAATCCTTCATTACTAAACAAAGAGTGCATGCGCATACAAGCACATGCGCACACGCGCGCCCGCCCGCCTGCAGGCATGCACACACACCCGCACAACACCCACCTGAATGAACTCTTTGTCCCGGTAGTCATCCCGGGGGGGAGGCAGGCACCACTGCACCCAGCTCCTCTTGCCCTCCAAGCTAAGCAACCCACCTTTCACTCACTCCCACTGCAGTCACTGCCCCCCAGTGCACACACAGCACCCACCTGAATGAACTCTTTGTCCCGGTAGTCGTCCAGGGGGGGAGGTAGGCACCACTGCACCCAGCTCCTCTTGCCCTCCTGACTTAGCAGCTCACTCCCACTACTTTCACTGCTCTCACTGCCCCCACTACTTTCGTCGCCACCACTTCTCTCACTGCTCCCACTGCTTTCCCCGCCCCTCCTCCTGCCAATTCCTGCCCTGCCTATTCCATCCGCCCTGCAACTCATCCTACTGCAGCAGGAGAAGGGAGACGGAAACATGCGTTCTAAAGGCTGCAGCATCCATGCAAGAGGCATGCCTCGGTTCCCATACATCAGCACTTCCTCCCATGCCGGAAACGGTATAGCTCTTTTCTTCCCATCCTCTCCATCCTTCCCATCCTCACCATCCCTCCCATTTTCCCCACCATTCCAACCATCCACATGCAGTCCTCCTCCTCCCCTTGTCCACACTGACTTCTCCTCGTAAGCACGCTCCTGGGCGGGGATTTTTGGCTGGGACTGAGAAGGAATGTGTGTGGAGGCGGACAGGGTAGCGGGCGGTGTAGTGAGGTTGAGGAGGAGCGAGGGGTGGAGCGAAGAGGAGGAGGAGCAGCGGGCAGAAAATGAGCTTGGAGGGGCCATAACATTCGTCTCTGATGCAGTGAAGTTGTGAAGGAGTGAGGGGTGGAGCAAGGAGGAGGAGCAGCGGGCGAGAGAGGCTGAGAAGAGAAGGCTGAGGATGTGGCTATGGCGACGGGCGAAGGAGAGGAACTGATGGGGGAAGGACCATTTGAAGGAGGAGAGAGAGGTGTTGATTGCTGCTGATAGACACGCATCCGCAGCAAAATCAGCAGCAGCATCAGCAACAGCATCGACGGTGGCAACAGCAGCAGCAGCAGCAGCACCATCACTACCAGCAGTTACGGCAGCGACAACAGCAGTAGTAGCAGGAGAACTATCAATAGCTGCAGAATCAGCAGCACCACCACCATCACTATCACCACCAGCAGCAGACACCGCAGCAGCAGCATCACCACCACCACCATTATCACAAGCAGCGGCAGCACAAGAAGCCAAATACAATGCTCCAAGCAGCATCACCAGCTGGTCAAATTGCGACTTATCCCGAAGAAGCTTCCCAGAAGATTCCGGAGAGAGGGGGGGCTCGAAGGGCCAGGGCAGGGGGAACCCGTGGGGTGGTATGCGGTGGAGTGGGATTAAGGAGAGGAGGCAGGTGTGGAGAGAGGAGAGGAGGGCGGAACAGGAGGAAATCAGAGGGAAGAAGTGAATCAAGGAGGGAGAGTGAAAGCTTTGTGATGGAAAGTGGGTTGAGATGGATTGTGAGGGTGAGTGTGAGTGTGAGTGTGAGTGTGAGTGGAAGGAGGAGGGTTCCCGAACTGCTTGTGGTGTTGCTAAGGGAGGAGAAGCAACAGTATTCCTACTCCGTGCTTCCCTCTTAGATGCCATTTTCACCACTGCTGTTGGTGCTGTTGCTGCTGCAATCTCTACTGCTGCTACTTCTCTTGCTGATAGTGCTGCTGCTACTGTCATATCTCCTACCTCTTCATCTGCTGCTGCTGCTGCTTCCATGCTCCGCTTTGGCAGTCTTCGTGCCCTAACGTTTTCACGCTTTGATAAATGCCAATCAGGAACTGCCACATCAGCGTCCACCGAAAGCACCTGGCTTTGCTTCAACACTGGTTTCACCCGCCTTCCGCCTCCACCTGACGGCACCTGAAAAGCACCTGAAGTATCCAAAGGCACTTGGGAAACAGCAGAGCGCGCCCCAAAAGAACCTGAAGGCACCTGAAAACCACCTGAAGGCACTGCACAAGCATCGGAAGCCACCTGACCAGCATCTGCTGCTAATTTCCGTCTCTTCCTGGCTCCACAGGCACTGAAAAAAGGAGATACTCCCTCAGGAATTCTATCGTTTGCATCGGCTACTCCATTCTCTGTGTACGCATCTTGAGGCGCCGCCTCAAGTGTCTTCCTGGCTCCACGGGCAGTGGAGAAAGGACCTGCTCCCTCTAATATTCTTCCTGGAAATCCATCCGGCACTGCAAACGCATCCCAGTCTGCCGCTCTGCCTGTTTGCACTTTCCCTTCGCTACGCGAGACAGGAAACGACTTTTGAGGCGCCTCAAAAGGCACTGCTAACGCATCCCAGTCTGCTGATCTGCCCGTTTGCACTTTCCCTTGGCCACGCGGCCTGCTGGCCCTCTCTGCCTGCCGTGCGGATGACTGTGTAGCGGTGGTCAATGAAGGCACTGCAAGCGGCGATGATTGCACTTGCACTCTCGGCGGCAATGATTGCTGTGCAGGCGGCAATGATTTCTGTGCAGGCGGCAATGATTGCTGTGCAGGCGGCAATGATTGCTGTGCAGGCGGCAATGATTGCTGTGCAGGCGGCAACAGAGGCTGAGAAGGGAGAGGCTGATAGGGCAGTGGCGTTGCCATTGTTGATGGCGCTGCTTTCATTGACGTAAGCTGATCTCTGGGCAGTGAGGGTACTCTGTGCTGCTGCTGCTGCAACAATAAAGGTGCCGCAGCTAGTTTCTGCAGGAGCTGCTTCTCCTCCGCCTCCACCCACTGCTGCTGCTCTTTCTGCTGCTGCTTCTGTTGCCTTTGCTGCTTCTCCACTCGCTGCTGGGGGGCCAAAGCGGTTGCGTTTTGAGGCTCATTCTGAGACACATTCGAAGGCTCATTGGAGGTCAAGAGCAGAAGGAGGAGGACAGGCAAGCAGGCAGAGAGCAGAGCAATGTCTGTCTCAGGGAGTGAAGAGGAGAGGGAGGAAAGAAGGGCACATGCCTCCCTTGTGGACATGTAACAAGGGGCACCGGCTTTGCTGCCCTTGCAGTTCTCACTTTCTCCTGCTACCTTTCCTTCCGAGGTTGCTGTCCTTGCTTTCTCTTCTTCTGCTGCCATTCCTTCCCCTGCTGGTGCTGACTTGCCTGCCCCTGACGCTGCTGCTGCTGAGGTTTCTTCAGACTGGGGGAGAGGAGAGGCTTGGATGGCAGCTGCTGTGCGCTGTAAGCACTGGAGCAGCAGCAGGGAGAGTGATGTGACTGCACTGCTGCTGCTGCTGCTGGTGACAGCAGGAGCTGCAACTGCAGCAAATTGAGCACCAGAAGGGCCGATATCCCTGGTGCCAGGAGCAGCAGCAGCAGAAAAGACAGGAGCAGGAGTGCAAACAGCGGGAAAACAAGAAGCAGCAGGAGGAGCAGCAACAGCAGCTGCTGCTGCACCAACATCAGTAGCATCAACAATATCAGCGTGTAGTAGCAGCTGCTGGGAGCACTGCAGTGGGCCAAGCTCAGAAGATAGGCGGGCAAGGGCGTGGCGGCACGTGTCAAACGCACAGCCCAGATGAGTCTGAATGGCGGACAGCGGATGTGCATGACTGGTCGACAGAGATTGCAGTTGAAGGTGATAGGAGTGCGGATGTGCATTATAGGGGTGGGGATGGGGATGGGCCCTGGTGTTGGGTGGAATTGGAGAGTGAGCGTGGGGCGAATTTGCTGTGGCAGTGACAAGGCGGGATGCGATGTGAAGGAGGAGTGGGACGAGACAATGCTGTAGCTGGAGCGGGGAAAGGGGAAGCAAGGAAAGGAAGGAGGAAGGGTTGAAGACGAGTGAGGGACGGGCATATGGCAGATTTATGGAAAAAAACATCATCTGTGCCAAACTGGAACGAAAAACAAATCATTGATCGTTTGCAGGAAATAGGTGGAGAACTGAAGGCTATAGAGGAAGAGTACTGGATATACGCAGGCAGGAGACAAGCAAAGCACAGCATAGGCACAAAGTAAACAGAAGATAAAGCGAAGTACCTTAGCTTCTTTGGTGGAGGCAGGAGGCCTCGTGAGCACTCGAATGCATTCAGCCCCGCACTCAGCATCTGCTGCACACCCTGCAGCACCGCACTCCACCTCCGTGCACCCTCCACCACTCCTGCAATATGCAGGCTGCTCTGCTAAGAGCAGCGCTAGAAGAGCATCGGCAGGAGTTGGACACGACACAGAAGCAGCAGTGGCAGGAGCAGCAGCAGCAGTACGGGGGGCAGCAGCAGGGACAGGCGAAGCAACAGTGGCGGAAGCAACAGCAGCAGTAGCAGCAGGAGAAGCAGAATCAGACGCAGCGGCGGGAGCAGCAGTTGCAAGGGCAGAAGGTTTAGAACGGTTTGGTCTGGTATGACATGGGTTTGAAACGGCTGGAATGGGTGAGATGAAGAAAGCAGAGACGAGCAAAGGCAGCTGGGAGGGCTTGATGCGCGAGGAGGAGGCGACGAAGCGAGAGACGGCCTGAATGATTGTTGAGCGGAGATGACGGGATTCCTGAGTGGAGGAAAAAAAGGGGGAGTTTGGGGAAGGAAAGTGAACTTGACCTGAACTGAGGAGGCAACAAAGCGAGAGACGGCCTTGATGATGGTGGCGTGGAGTTGAAGTGACTCCTGAGGGACGGGGAGGGAGGAAAGCGAGGGGCTGTGGAAGTTGGCCTGTCGTGAGACAAGGATGCAATGAAGCGAGAGACGGCCTGAATGATGGTGGCGCGCAGATGGCGGGACTCCTGAGGTTACGGGGAGGAAGGGGAGGAGGGGAAGAGAGGGGGGGGGGGAGTGGAGGAGAAGGGAAGGGCAGTGTGGGATTGACGTGGGATGAAGCGAGAGACGGCCTGAATGATGGTGGCGCGGAGATGGCGGGACTCCTGAAGGGGAGGGGAAGGGGAGGGGAAGAGAGGGGGGGTGGGACGGGGGGGAACGAAGAGGCGAGGCGAGGAACGGAAAGATGGTTTTGGTTCGGCATGGGCCAGAATGCATTGGTTCGGGATGGCTGGAGTGTGTGGGATGAAGACGGCAGCGACGAGCAGCGGCAGCTGGGAGGGCTTGACGCGCGACGAGGAGGCGGCGAAGCGAGAGAATGACTGAATGATGGTGGCGCAGAGATGGCGGGATTCCTGAAGGGAGGGAAAGGGAGGGTGGGGAGTGGGACGGGTTAGGGAAGGGAAGCAGGCTTGACGCGAGACAACGAGGCGACGAACCGAGAGACGGCCTGGATGATGGTGGCGCAGAGATGGCGGGATTTCTGAGGGTAGGAGAGCGGTGGGGAGTGGAAAGAGGGAGTGGATAATGGGGAGTGGGGAACGGGGAGTAGGGAACGGGGAGTGGGGAACGGGGAGTGGGGAACGGAGAATGCAGAACGGCCACGGGTATGTTCCAAATTTCGAGAATAAAACGCACTGTGAATGGGAAAAGTATGTACGAAGTTGCCTACTTTCTCTCACTTTGCACGAAGCAACTCCGTACCAAGTGAGAGAAAGGATGCTTCATGAAAGTGAGTTAAAATATGTACCTTGGGATTAGGAGGTGGAGTGGACGGATGGCCGTTGGAGCTCGGATTCAGGTAAGGCGACGCGGGAAGAAGCTTCCGCGCAGGTTCCACTAATTCTCTCAAAAGCATGGTCTGAGCCTGCTTTGCTGCTAGTGAGGAGGAGAAAGAGGAGGAGAAAGAAGCGGAAAGAGAGGAGGGGACGGAGAGCGGTCTAGGAGGAGGCGAAGACGAAACGGGAAGGAACGAAGAGCTTGGAGCAGCTGGGGGTGAAGACGAGGAAACCAAGCGGTCGTCGGGATAATTACGACGTTCTCTCATTTTTTTGCTGGACGAGCAGGGGTCCCAATCCCTGCGAGGCAAGAAATTATGGCCAGCCATAGTCACGACTCACGAGAGATAATAACAGTCATGCAATACTGGAAGCTATCACGTTCTACCATTATAACGGACGAAGTCTACCTTGGTTGAGAATTACCATTTGGCTTGGGCAGGGGTGGTTGTCACTAATTTTCGCTATAAGGATCTTCGTTGGGAGTACGAAACGTTGGAAGGAAAGTCGTAACATGGTCGCATGCGATGAGATGCTGCGATGAACCCAGTTTGGGCGATCTCAGCGAAAGACCCTAGCTTCAGACTGGAGCGGCCAAACCAGGTAGAATGTGGGAGAGGCACCATAGAGAAGTTCACGAGGTGATTTCAAAATCGCTGTAGTTCGCACACTGCTCTTGTGCTCTGGGGGTTCGCGAAATTACCAGCTTATCTGGGTTGCTGCCATGACCTCGTCATGACTTACCGCATTGTGTCAGTGCCGCTTACAGCTGATTGGTAGGGTGTTACAATCTCTTCAACACTTACTCTTCAGTTGCGAAATGTATTTGCGAGAGGATGACCATAAATTAATGAGGGAGCTTCTAGCGCATATATACTATCTTTCCAGCACTCTGGTGGTTTCTTCGCGCGCGAATATTTGAACCTGACCACTCCAGTTCGTTTCCGCGGCTCGTCAGAGATAGGAAACAATCAGGGCTTTTCACATGTTTCGAAGCATTGCCCTAAATTATCGGTCAATCTTGTGTGTATTCCGCATAGCAATCAGGTATTGCATGGGGTGACTTTGCCCAGTCGTGGTCGCGGGTTCCGTTATGGTCCGGTTGAATGAGGAGTTTTGTCGTCCCTTCTGAAAGGTTCATTCGACTCGGATGACTGTAATATGTAACCATGCATTGAGCAAATGCTCAACAGTACGAATGAAAAACTTGTGGTAGGCAGGGCAGCCTAGGTCAAAGGAACCTCTCCACCCATTCAATCCCAACTTCGAACCACATCCTAGGAAGTTCAAACCCAAGACAAACTCCTAGGCAGCTCCAATACATTTCTAAGACAAACTCCAAGACAAGTCCTAGACAACTCCTAGGCAACTCCAAGGCAAAACTACTGCTAGAGTCCCGCTAGGTACCTGTTGGCTCACAAGTTGAACAGTTCTAATACTACTTCAGGGTAGTGGCACGATGCCGTTCAGCAGATCCCTTTAGATTACTGTTTAGCTTACATGGCTTCCGGTCTCGACGTGACGGCTTTTTTTAGCTTAGTAGAGGCTGGTTGTTGAGTTGACTTTAAGTAACCTCGTAGGCTTGCATCCTAGGGTCGCCAGCATCTCGCTGGCCTTATCGCCTTTTGAGCTGTTGAATTCGGTTTAACTGTTTACTGAACGCTAAGGACTTCAATCGTCAACCAAGAAAATACATTCATTTCTTACACTGTAAGGCCTTTACTTCCGACATATGTGACGAGGTGATAGTTCCGACTTCGGAGTCAAGGCTCAGCTGACAATTTTCACCTGGAATATCTACATCCAGTGAATGAATCGTAGAAGCATCGTTCCAAGTAACGGACAGCAAGATTTGAAGTCTCGACGTTTCCCCATTCACCTCTTAAATGTTTCCTGTTTTTACCTTCCATTCTCTCCATTCTTCTCGCTTCTCCCCCAGTTTCAGGATGGAGAACATGGCTCCGTCGCCCGCTTCCGTAGGCCGTCACAGGTCCGCGGGACTGCAAAGCGGACCCAGCAAGGCTGAACCTCTCAGCCATCAGACACCGCTGCAAGGGGGTTCGTCGTCGTCGTTGCAGGCAGGAGGATCGTCGTCGTCGTCGTTGTCGCAGCGAGGCACGCCTAGAGCGGGGCTTGCGACGCTGACCGGCAACGTGCTCACGCCGCAGTCGCAGGCGTGTGAGTATTTGAGCCGTACTGCACTTGAGGCACTATGGACGATACTCCAATCACCCTCTTATGTTGATACGACCATCTCTTGTTTTTGTCATCCTTCCGTGCGTCTATTCGCGGCCGATTTCTGAGTCGACTCAACAGTCCGCACGTTGACCATGATTCATGCTTCATCCTTCCGTGCGTCCCTCTTTGCCAGGACCTACGCCGGTCATTTATCCTCCAAGGCACGTGAAAGTGACTATGTTTTGAGACGTTAAAAAAACGTGAATGTTCTTGCTGACCCGTTTCGTTATTCCTCCGTACATCCCAGGTCGCACCATCGCTGCCAGAACTTCGAGCAACATGAAAGCAAAATGATATCGAGACGTCTCAGAACGATTTCACTTTCCTGCGTCTCTCCTTCAGCCTGATTCATGCGTTTTCCGTCTGTGCGTCAATCTTCCCGCAGATCGCGATCGCTCCATTGCCGCCAATACTCCTAACACCTGGAGACGTCGCATCACCGTCGGTTTCCTCGTGGTTCGACGAACCATGCTAACAAGAACGAATTCCCCTTTTTGTGCCTCTAGTTCACTCTGATCATGCATTGACATCCGTGTGTCCCTCTACCCGCAGATCGCGATCGCACCACCGCTGCCAAGACTCCGCGCAGCGTGAAGTAAAACTGCTCTGAGACGTCTCAAAGAAATTCACTCTCTTGTGCCTCTGTTCACCTGATTCATGCATCATCTTTCCGTGCGTCCCTCTACCCGCGGATCGCGATCGCTCCATCGCTGTCAAGAGTCCGCGCAGCGTGAGACGTCTCAGAACAAATCTAGGTTCTTGTGCGTCTGGTTCACCTGACTCATGCGATCCGTCCGTCTATGCGTCCCTCTCTACCCGCAGATCGCGATCGCACCATCGCTGTCAAGAGTCGAGCAGCGTGAAACAGAATTTGCTCTGAGACGTCTCAAAGCAATTTTACTTTTCTGCCTCTGATCCGGATTCATGCGTTATCCGTCCGTGCGTCCCTCTCTACCTGCAGATCGCGATCGCACCATCGCTGTCAAGACCCCGAGCACTGCCACGAGGACTCGTCCCGTCCCCACGCGGTTATCAGCCGCAATCTCGGATGATTCCAACATCCAAGTAAGGAATCCAAGGGAAATTGGATGTCTCACATTTCATACATGGGCGAGGGTGATTTGAAGATTCAGAGGAATTTCGAAGAGGAATTCAGGATCGAATGCATGAGATGTCACGTTTCAGAGTCCTTTGCATGAGAGTGTGCGTTTGCTTGCTGCGCTGGATCATGGTTAGGACTCAAGCTGCCACTCTTTCTGGGCCACCTCCTTTTGTGTACCGACTTGAGTCGACTCAAAAGTAACTTCCGTTTCTTCTCTCTCCCCCCAAGTCGACTCAAACGTCATATCTATTTCTGCCCTCTCTCCCCACCCCCAACCGCGCGTCGCACCATCAGGTGATCGTGAGGGTGCGGCCGCCAGCAGGCCCTGAGCTGACAGGGTATTCCGAAGCCAAGTGTGTGGTACAGGACGGCTCTTGGTCGCTCTTTAGTTGACTTGATTGTAACCTCTTTTTCTTCTTCTCTCCCCCTCCTCCCACCCCACCATCAGGTGATCGTGAGGGTGCGGCCGCCAGCAGGCCCTGAGCTGACGGGGTACCCCGGGGGGCGGTGCGTGGCACAGGACGGCCCCCAGTCGCTCTTTTGCCAACTCTAATTTCACCTCCGTTTTTTCTTTCTCTCTCTCTCCCCTTTACCCAAATCGCCCACCGTCAGGTGATCGTGAGGGTGCGACCACCAGCAGGCCCTGAGCTGACGGGGTATCCCGGGGCCAAGTGTGTGGCACAGGACGGCCCCCGGTCGCTGTTCCTAGTGAACCCGGACAGGGCGGGCGCAGCGGAGCAGTTCACATTCGACCACGTGGCAGGGGAGAGCGCGGCGCAGGTGGGCGTGAGGATCAGGGATCGGGGGTTGTTGAATTGAAGGGTAGGGGAGAACGCGTCGCAGGTATGCGTGGGGATCAGGGATCGGGGGTTGTTGGATTGAAGGGTAGGGGTGAGCGCGTCGCAGGTGGGCATGGGGATGGGAGTGGCAGAGCTCTTGAAATGAAGGTCGAGGTAGAACTTATTGAAGGTACTCGTGGGAACAGGGGCACAAGACGGCCCCTGGTCGCTGCTCCTGGTGAACCCAGACAGGTTCTTTTCCTTCCTTCCACGTCTGGTCGTTGTTCCTTCCTTCCACCTCTCGCTGCTCCCCTCACCCGCTTCCCCCTCTCCCTTCCCCCTCCCCCTTCCCCCTCCCCGGTCCCTCTCCGTTGTCTACTCGTGCAGGAGGACCTGTTCGAGCTGGCAGGGAGGCCCATAGTCGAGAATTGCCTCTCTCTGAAGCGCCTCATAAGCCCCTTCCCCCCTTCTTGCCCCTTTTCCCCACTTCTCCTCGTGCAAGAGGATCTGTTCGAGCTGGCAGGGAGGCCCATAGTTGAGAATATCTTCTCTAAGCCCCCATCCCCTGCCACTCTCCCCCATTGCCCCTTTTTCCCCCCTTTCCCTGTGCAGGAGGCCTGTTTGAGCTGGCAGGGAGGCCCATAGTTACAAAGCTCTTCTCTAAGCCCCCATCCCCTGTCCCTCTCCCTCGTTGCCCCCCTTCCCCCCTTTCCCTGTGCAGGAGGACCTGTTCGAGCTGGCAGGGAGGCCCATAGTCGAGAACTGCCTAGCTGGGTACAACAGCACTATGTTCGCGTATGGCCAGGTTCGTTGTATCTGCCATGGATAACGGTGGTTTCAAGGCTTCCCGTGTGTGGCATATGGCATGGTGGTATTTCCCCACCCGTCCCTCTTGCCTCTTCCCTATTCCCTGAACCCCCTGACAACATTTTTGAGGCGCCTCAAAAATCGTCTCAGTTTT